TTTTACTTTGTTTCCAGGCTGGTAACTATTTAGAATGGGAACTCGGACCTTTGAAAAGATCCAGAAATCATGTATTTTTGATTACTATATTTCCTCCCCCATACGTAGCACAGTGCCTTGGGCAGAATAGGCTTAAAAAAAGTTTTTGAAAATTATTTGCCAGTGTGAACTTTACACAATGAAACTATGTTTGAAAATGTGAATAGTAGGAATTTTACTAGTTTTCAAGAAAGAATAACCATTACGACTTTGGTTAAATCTAAAATCTCTTCATTAAGGCTTAGGGAGAATATTCCTTAAAGAGCATTGAACCCAAGGGTGTATAATAATGAAATTTCAAAAAGTTCATGTAAAAATGGAGTTAAAGTACAAGTTTATTTTGGTTCGAAATAATTAGAATCCATTATAGTTTTTTCATTATACTCATGTTCTATGAACTTCTGGAAGACCCCTTGTGTTCAGTTGTTTTTCAGGTTTATTACCCTCATTTTTATTGTCACATGTGCATAGCAGTCCATCAATATTGTAGTGAAAGATAACAGTAATTTGATTAGAGAGCATTACAACTTATCCATGTCAGCAAGACTAAGTCTTAGGGACTCGGATGAAGTTAATTTCTGAAGAAACTGAGCAGTTGCTTATATTTCTGTTTATACTGCACAGCATGAGGAATGGGCCTCTGTATTAAATTTCTGGACAGTTTATTGTCTAGGAAGTGTTCACTGCCTTACATGAGACATAACTTAGTGGACTTATGCATAGTGAAGATATTGGTATTTCGCAAGATGGCCCATGTGTTTGGGACTAAATGGAGCATAAATTTTACCAAGTCTATTTTGTTATTCTCCACAAGTGCTAACGTGGAACTTCACCATGCGGATTTGACTACTTGTAAGCTTAGTTCTCTCACTGCTATTAACATTATCGAGACCCATTACTATACTATCATTCTTACCTATGTAAAATCAATAAAGGAGTCAGTGATTGTTTCTAGGAAATCCCAACAATACCAATTCTCCAGCAATGATCAGGCAGTAAATATGCTGACATAGGAAGATAAAATGTTCTTGAGATTTTTTTACAGGTGTGTTAATAGACTCTCAGGAACCTATCTAATTGGGATTTCCTTTATGCATTTTATTGAATACTTACTTAGTTGGCCCATTTCCACATCCGTGGATTCAATCAACAGAGAATGTGACCAGATCTTGCCAAATGTTATGAAATGGGGGAAGAGGTAGCTCCCTAAAAAGAGACACCAAAGTTTATCCATATTTTTCCTTTTTATTTATATCTGATGCTAAGTTTGCTTACAAGTTATCTATTGATAATTGAAAGTATACAGGGGGATGTGAATAGTTTATATGCAAATACTACACCATTTTTTGTAAGGCAGCATCAGCAAATTTTGGTATTTGCTGAGATCCAGGAGCCAATCTCCCATGAATACTGTGGGACAACGGTGCTTGTTATTTAATGTGAATAAATCTAAACGAAAGTCCCTGCATGAATGGGCTTGGACTTTGCTCACCGGGAACATTTATCCGTATGTTTGTCATGGTTTATAGGTACTCTTGGGGGCTGTGTTTAATGAGATTATCCTGGAAACGAGTTATTATGGCAATTCCTGATGTCTTTGTGCCTGACGCACCTGTTACTCTGATCTTCCTGTAGCTGTCTACTTCTTGTCATTCAGGTGATACTCAGTATCCACCTCCTTTTAGGGGCCTTTCTAGACTGTGCCATCTGGAGATGTCAATCCTCACAGTGGTCATTACACCGGATCACTCTTCTGTTCGCTCTAAAACAGAACAATAGATCTTTCTGTCTCCTTGTATATGCTTTTTTTCCCCCAATACTAGAATGTAAGCTCCATGAGAGCAAGCAAGTACCTGGTGAGGCTTGCTCACTGCCGAGTCCCCAGGGCTAGTGCAGAGCCTAACCCTCATGTTGAATAACAAATAAAACTTGATTTCATGATGGGTACTTTAAAATAGTGCTTCTCAAGTGACATACAATGTAAACTGTATATATAATCTAAAATTTGTAGTGCCTATGGTTAGAAACTAAACAAAGAAACAGGTTAATTAATTATAGCAATATATTTTATTTAATACAGCATATCTAAAAATGTCAGTATATAGTCAATGTCAAAAATTTTAATTATTCTATATCATTTATATGTCTTTGAAATCTGGTGAGTATTTTATTCCAATAGTACATTTCAGTTCAGACTCTAAATTTTCTGTTGAAATTCTTGATCAACATTTAAATTTCATAAAATTGAAATTTCATAAAGTTGAAGAAGTAGATTGACATACCCAAATTGTTTCAAATATGTTTAAATGTTTCAAGGGCCTGAGGGTGGCATTGCCACAAGAAGCTCTATGAGGCTGTCCACATGGGACATTGAGAAACTTCTCTGAGGATGTCAGGCACACACATACCCAGTATCCAGGGCTTGCTGATGCTTTAGATGAATCATGATGGCAAGACCCCACTGGAAATGCTATGTGTCTATCTCTATTGCTCCTGGAAAACAAACAAACAAACAAACAAACCTTTTTTAAAAAATAAAACTTTTCATGGGACCAGCAGTTAGCATAACGATTATGTCACTGGACTCCCATGTAGTCAACCGCGGTTCAAGTCCTGGACCCGGTGGCTTAAAACTCATGCCAGGCACATGTGCATGTGTGCCCAAGATCCCAAGAGGAGAATGAAGGAGAAGGGATTGTGGTGTGGCCATTCCCCCCTGGGAGTGATTTCTCACATTCTGTCTCTCTGTCTCTCTCTGTCTGTCTGGCGAGCGCACTTGCCCTATAACAAAAAAAACCTCTCCAAAAAATAATAATAATAAAATAAAAATAAATAAATAAACTAAAACTTTTCTAATAACTGAACTCATGATCATTTCTTATGTTTTAATGAAAATAAAATTAAAAATTCAATTTCAGTCACACTAGCCATATTCCAAGTGTTTAAAATCCATGTGTGTTTTAGAGACTATAGTATTGGACAACTTTAAGACAGCATGTTTAAATTGAAGTGCTACAATATATGAAATACATATTAAAATGTGCTAATTACATAAAAATATATCTGAAGCAATTTGTTACTAAAATTAAGGCATCGACACATGTACTAAAAAGCATTTTAGGGCCAGCAGATGACATAGTCAACCACGGTTTGAGTCCCATACCTGGTAGCTTGAAAAATCATACCAGGTACAAGTGTATGTATGTCCAAGATCCCAGAAAGAGAAAGGCAGAGAAGGGATTGCAGTGTAGGTATCTCCCTAGGGAGTTATTTCTCACTTCCTCTCTCACTATCTCTCTGTCTCTCTCTTTTGAGTGCATGCAAAAACCTTTAAAAAAAGCCATTTTTAATTTAGAGCATTATCAAAATTGTGGCTCTATGAAGATTACTTATTTTTATTTACTTTCATTTGCCATACCTTACTCAATGGAAACAGATGAATCTCTAATAGCAAGTCTACCCTGAGAGGGCCATCCACACAGGTATCTTCATCCATAGTGGATGATCATCATTACAGTGCCATTAACATATATGACAATTGGGGAACCAGCAGTTAGCATAATGGCTATGTCGCTGGACTCCCACATAGTTGACCGTGGTTCATGTCCTGGACCCGGTGGCTTAAAACTCACACCGGGTGCATGGGCGTGCGTGCCCAAGATTTCAGGAGGAGAATGGAGGAGAAGGGATTGTGGTGTGACCATCCCCCCTGGGGGGCGATTTCTCACTTTCTGTCTCTATGTCTCTCTCTGTCTGTCTGGTGAGTGCACACGCCCTATAGCGAAAACCTCTCCAAAAAAACCCCCAAAAAACAAATATGACAATTAAACATTACTACTGTAACTTAAGCTTATTAGTCTATTACAGCAACTTACTTTTCTGCAAAACCCTGTTGTTAATAAAACCCACTGCTCCAAACATTTTTGGGAAGCCCTTGGGGTATTTACTTGGGTTTATGAATCAATCTGGCTCAGCAGATGCTATTCAGTGGGACACAGTGCAGTGGTTTATCACTCTGTGATATTTTATTTATTTTGTTCTTTTCTGCAATCTGGATATGTTCATGGGAGTTTGTTGCACGTGTGAACACCTTCCAGTATAGGGTGAAGAAATTGAAGACGATGATTATTTTAGAAAAGTAATCTCATTAATTAGTCATTATGCAAAAGAAGGAAATAAGTTTTAATAGCTTGAGACCACACATTTGTAATCATTCAAGTAAAATAACACCCTTTAGATGTGGCTAAATGTAGTTGTAATATAGCTCAGGAACTGAATACGTTTTTTCAGTATGAGGACTATATTTTGGATTGAGAACTATTTTGTAACTGGTTTGTGTAAACCCAAACTCTGATTTAGGGCATGAAAAATGAGGTTATATTATTATTTTAATTAAATCTACTGTCTAGATTCCTGGTGAATGAAATGAATATATATTTTTTAATTCATATAGGACATTTGAAATTAGACATCTGGGGTACTTTAAAATGCCATTATTTATTTGTCTAATTGCCAGGTAATTCCTGACACATTCCTGTTCCAAAGAGCCTTTGCCATTACTAAAAAATCTCAAGGCATTTTTTTGTAGTTTCTCAATTCAGAAGAACCATATAATTGCAATTTTAATATAAACCTAAGAAAAGGGGTTCAAAGTTCATCCCAAGATAATTATCCTATTCTACACTGGAATAAATATGTATGAAAATAATAGGAGGAAATTCAATGCACCGAACATTGAATTACCAAACAAGAATGTTTAAAATATTCTGTTAGTGGTTAAAAATAACTTGTACTCTAAGTCCAATGACCATTTGCCAGGGAGAGCCAAAGTTAAGAAATTTCTATCAAAAACATGACTCAGAAGAAAAATGCAGAGGCTGGTAATGAAGGAAATGATCTGACAGCATTCTCAATTGGTTATTTCTCAGATCACATGCTCTGGGCATCTTTAAAAGGAAGTTATCTGGACTCAAGAGGGTCAGAGCACCTTGCTGAACTGGCAGCTTCCTTCTTACCTGGAAGAATCATCCTAGAACATTCACAAAATGTGTGACGCTTTTGTAGGTACCTGGAAACTTGTCTCCAGTGAAAACTTTGATGACTACATGAAAGAAGTGGGTAAGGAAATTTATTGGGGGATAACTGTATTTATATCTTTGTTTATCAGGGTAATCTGGGATTATAGCAGTGTTTTCACTCTAGAAACATTGACCAGATATGAAAATGCTACATTTTATATAGAGATTATGCAATTAGCAAGTGAGAATTATTTGTTTTTAGAAATATTTAAATCAAACCTATAACAAATTCTTCCTAAAGGTAAACCGATATGAAAGATTCTAAATGCCATTTTTATGATCTACAGAAATGACAAGATTTTACTTTAATTGCAAAATGTAGGGGAGTTTTGGTTTACTTGGCTCCTTGCCTGTTTTTTCTTTCTCCCCTTTTGTATACAAAGTAAGCAATAAAACTTGGAAAGAAAATCACATGTATTTCTTAACATGCTATGGTTTCCATTTAAGACTAAAGGCATTGTATTTGCCATCTTAATGCATCTTTAGTTTTTTTAGTTCATGTTTATTAGCCAGTTATTTTCTTATCTCTTTATCAATACACTAAAAGGTGTGGTTATTCTATGGGAGACTGTCTTCTTTCAGAAAATATGCTCCTTAATGAGCTTAAATACTTCTTTGACTAGAAATGACATGGGATGCCATTGAGTGATTCAAAAGAAGAGTGTTCCATAGGTAATCTACCTGCACTTTGATATCAGAGACTCAGGTAACATTGGCAGGATGTCATCGTACTGATGTTTCCCGGATGATTACGAAGCTGCAGCAACACCAGTAAATTAAGGGGGCAATTTCCTACTCAGGCAGCTTCCACTTTGAAACTCCTTAGTGCCGCCACTGTGCATGATAAGCTTGCATCCAGGGTTAACAAACTGGGCGAGAATGTGACTCAGTATCCTTATTGGAGTTCGGAATTTAATCCCCTAATCTTAAAAGATTTAACTCTCTCCTAAATTATACAGTGTATATTTTTGCTTGCTTATTACTAGACTATTTCTTGTTTACAGACAAGAGGGAAAGCAAGGACTTCAGCAAGAGAGGAAAATAACCTTCTAGAATATCAATTAGTTATAACTTAATAAATTAATTGATATGGATTTATATAGAAATGCTAGGATTGGGGATCGTTTAGCTACTGACTTTCAGAAAAATTTTACACTTTTAGTATTATATGTAAATCCTTACACTATTATGTTTTTAATTTATAAAGGGCTGATGATGTTTAAAAACAGTAAGATACCTCTTACATGACATTAGCAGCTCTAAATGAGGGTGAGTGGGAAGGTATTGCCTTCCTCAGTCACATAAAGACAAAATCAAGCAAGTAGAGAATATGATGTTTCCCAAAGTCATCCAGAATCATGATGTATGTGTTCACCACACTGATTCAGACCTTACGCTTAATGCTACACGTTGTACGAAAGCCAGACTAGATGAAGCAATACAGCGTCTTCCCACCCTGGCCATTTTTCAGACAGGGAGCTAAATCAGAGCCTCAGTTTTACTTATTTTGTACCACATTTCTCTCCTAATTCCTATTTCTAACGTTTGGTCACCTTTAGTCAAAGAAACAATTTAGATATATGTACATGTATTTTTTTTTTTTACACATACCAGTCATCTTTTATTGGATGGGAATTCTCGACTGGGATATGAAAGGACTCAACAAGTTCCTTTGGAGGGGTGCTAAGCCAAGGAGATGAAGGTCTGGTTCAGTGTATGCCCTCCATGCTGGCCCTCTGCAGTGGTATTTACGTCACCACTCGTGTCTGAGTTCCTTATAGGAAAGGCAGTAGCTGAAGAGCACGTAAGCAGCCAGCACCATAGAAACCCCAGCAACATCCCCTTTCTTCAGGTTGAAGTACTTGTTGTAATACCGGTAGTAACTTCTCTGAAATGCTCCACCAATGCCTTTAGGGGTAAAATCCCGCATCAGTATCCAGCTTGGTAGCTCCCCAAGTTTGACATCCATGAACTTATTTTCCTTCGCTGACGCCATCTTGGAGTCCTGGTGTCCGCTGCACAGACTGCGCAAGAGCAGATATATGTACATGTATTAAAACATTCAGCATATCTATGACTCATAAATTCTTCCTATGTATGCATGTGTATGGGTGTATATATATACATATGTATATATATATAGAGAGAGAGAATGCAGTGACAGCAAATTACTGCTCTTTATGTTAGGTTGCAAATTGTTCTTCACATACTTTACACAAGAAAATATATTCTTTTTCATTAAAAAAATGTTTGCAACTTGGGTAATTAGAAATCCAAGTACTGGTGTCTAAAATTATTCTACAGTAAGAGATACTGATTTCTTACTTAATAGACAAAAATAAAAAGTTATCTGTTGATGATAATGTATATGATAATCTCTTTGACTTGACTAATATGCACTGTACTCATGCTGGGAAAAACCATGTTGTATGATGTAAAAGCTTGCAGTGATTAAATAGATATCAATTTAAAAAATACTAATGTCTTAAATTTTGAAGTTTCGCAATTGATGCCTAGTCCCTCTTGAATATTTCTGATTGATTACTGAGAATGATGAACATCCTAAAATGATTTAAATGTAAGAATCTGCTGCAATTTATGTAAGCCTTTTGGAGGAATGAATCAAAATCTTCACTGCATGGAAAAAATAGAATTTGGAAAAGAAGCCCCAAAAAATAGAATTTGGAAAAGAAGCCCAAAAAAACTAGATTTGGCAGCAAATGTCATAAAATGTGATTTGTGTATGCTCAGATTAGAGTAACTTTAAACTGAATAACTCTATACTGGCTCTGAGAATCCTGTTAAGAATTCTGTCTTTGACTTTAGATTTTTTTAGATAATTTTCAGTATTTAAGAAGGAATGATCAATATGCCTCAAATGTTTCCTGAGTAGAGAAAAAAGATAATAGATGACAATATATTTGTATATATATATAAAATCACTGCGTATTATTACAGCATACCAAATGAATTTTCCCATTATGAATACACTGTATATGGGTTCAGTTCCAGATATTATGGTCCATATTATTTTCAACAGGTAATTATCCATTTTTGCATCCCTTAAATGTTTTCCTTCTTTTTTCCCCTTGATTCCCTCCCTGTCACCTTCCCCTATTTCTACCATCCTCTCACACTGTCTCTAGTATCGTAGTGAATTTTCCCATTATGAATACACTGTATATGGGTTCAGTTCCAGATATTATGGTCCATATTATTTTCAACAGGTAATTATCCATTTTTGCATCCCTTAAATGTTTTCCTTCTTTTTTCCCCTTGATTCCCTCCCTGTCACCTTCCCCTATTTCTACCATCCTCTCACACTGTCTCTAGTATCGTAGATGCTCTTCATGCTTTTATATCTTCCAATCTTCTGGTTTCTGCCATGAAGCATTGACATTCAGCACATGTTGAGTAGGGACATACAATGCCTCTCTTTTACAATCTAGCTTGCTTGCTTAGCAGTAAATTTTCCATATTCTTGTTGAAAATTAACAATGTCTCTCCCAAAGAGCTTTATACAGAACCAGAGAAGAAGAATTTTAAAGAACAGAACTTCACCTATTATGCCTCGGAGTTTTTCTTTGAGTATGAGGTTGATTTACTTATCTTGCAGGAGTTATTTAAATGAGGTCTCTAAGAGACTACCTGGTGTCTTTTTAATTCATTTACACACACACAAACACACATGTGCATGTAGATACACATACTTTTGCTCTCTGACTTAGGTAGAGATGAGAGAGATAATGCAAGCCTGACATTTCTTCTTCCTTAACTGTAGGAGTGGGCTTTGCCACCAGGAAAGTGGCTGGCATGGCCAAACCCAACATGATCATCAGTGTGAATGGGGATATCATCACCATTAAATCAGAAAGCACCTTTAAAAATACAGAGATTTCCTTCAAACTGGGTCAGGAATTTGATGAAGTCACTGCAGATGACAGGAAAGTCAAGGTGAGAAATGGGAATCTGGTACAGAGTCAACAACTGGTTTCTAAGTTGCTGCTGCACACAAGAAGCCATTTTGTAATCAGAAGAGGGAAACTGTTCTATCATAAGCCAAAGATCCTGAACTTCTACTGCCAAGTCATGCTGCCTTTGATATACAGTTGGCAAATTTTCCCCCTTTCTATTAAGTTGCCCTTATGTTTAAAAAAATGATTAACCTGATTGATTTGTGTGTCATACAATACATGGAGTGTTTGAAGTGAATTAAAGTAATAGAACAATGTTAGAGAATGTCTATCAAAGAGTAGAAAATAAAGAAAAACATTGCCCCTAAAACTACTATCTCAAGGTTAATTCTTCATCTATATGCCTTCTGAGTATTTTTTGATATTTATGTCATACCGTAGTCATTACACACACGTATATACACAAATATACGTTGTATGCTGTTGTTTTTGAGACCCATTTTTTCTTGTTGCAATATATTCTTGTCATTTAGATTACCAGTGGCCTCAAAACATTTCTTTAAACAAAGGCACTGTATTTTTAATTTCTATTTTCTGCATGTATATGCGAATGATAGTATTTTTTATTATGCCTACAGAGCATCATAACCTTAGATGGGGGTGCCCTGGTACAGGTGCAGAAGTGGGATGGAAAATCAACCACCATAAAGAGAAAACGAGAGGATGATAAGCTGGTGGTGGTGAGTATCTCAGTGACTTCATTCTAGATCCTACTGCTAAGTCATCTCATGGTCATTATTCCACTTAAGGAATAATGATTGGGACACAAAGGAAACTTTATTGAGATTATGGTTCTACTCTGGCAATTGCCCTTTTTGCTTTTATGTTCTGCCCTGGTACACCACCTACCCCCAGGAAGCATTCCCTGCTCCCTCTCAGGCACCTTGAATAATATTCCCCAAACCCCAATGTTATTACGTATTTCTGTTTATGTTTCTCAGTCACCATAGAGATAAAGGGATAAAATGTAATTTTCCTGGTCTTTGTATCTTTCTAACCTATTACAATATCAGGCATTTATACATAGGAGCCCAAAATAAATAAATGACTGTTGGTTTCTTCCCAACATTTAAAAGATGATAAATAAATCCACGGTTCAGTCTCATCGATTGATTCAATGTTTTCTGTGTCTTTAGGAATGTATCATGAAAGGCGTCACCTCAACCAGAGTTTATGAGAGAGCGTAAGTCAGGGGACACTGACCTGAAGTTTGCATGGAACTCTGCAACATCCTGCTGGATGTGTCATTATTTTCTACTAATTAGCACACACCTAATTTTTTCCCAAACTGATTTTACTCAATATAATTGTGTTGGTTAAATAAAACATTTTAGACTTAGAAGATGATGTAATGATTTATTTATTGAGCTGGATACTTCTTACTCATAATTGAGTAAAAGACATAGAAAATTTGCATTATTGCTTTGTTTCTGGTAGAACTAATATAATATTTCATAATAACACCCAAAAGTTAATATTTATCTATTTTTCATTTCTCTAGGTAAGAGATGACAAGTGTGTCCCTGCCGAATATTAAGTCCTTATATAACATATCCATAGTTAAGTAACTACCTCTTAGAGATCTAGGGCAGTTTTATAATCTTTTTCAGAAGTTTATTTATTTCTTCCATGAGAGAAACAGCACATACATGTGAGAGTCAGGCACTGTCAACAGTTCTCTCTGCAACCCACTTGCAGTCTTGGTTGGTCCAGATTATGGGCACATGCACGCCTCCACATACTTTGGGAGGTCTTGGGGCATGAACCCAGTGCCCTTTTCACTAATTCCAGTTGTGTTACAACTGCATCACTGCCTGACCCCACAGAAAGCTTAAAATATATCGGATTGTTTGCAGCCGGCTGGATCTAGTGCTCGGATGTCCTACTTACCCTGACCTGGAACTTGTCAAGAGAGCATATACAATGCATGGTGTAGAAAAAATTTCTAATCGGTTGTGTAATTTTTAGTCTGACAAATTATTGGTAAATTCAGCCATCTTCTAAATCTTTACAGGACTCAATGCAAATAATTCCATAATATTCATTCCAGGAAAGCTATGAGAGTATTATTGTACATGGGTAAAGATTGAGATGTTATTATAATGAATTCCAAACTTTTATTTTTATTTTTTACCAGTACAACTTTGTATTCAAATAAAGTGTCCATGGTATCCCAGTATATACAACACACATAAATGATAATAATGTTGACCAGATAGTGTGTGTGTGTGTATGTGTGTGACACACTTGATAGTAAATCAAAAGCTGTTCAAGTGTGTGCTGAAATTGATATAATTCTATTTCCGGTGCTTCTTTTAAATGCGATTTCAAATATATTTATTTTCTGAGTACATTTTCTGCATATAACACCTTGATGTGATGAGGCCAAAGAAGTGGAATAGGTTTTTGATCATAGAAATTTATTTTCTTCACAAAAACAGAGAATAAGACTCTCAACTTTCACTTTGGGCTCATTAGAGGTTTGAACTTAGAGAAGATTTGCAGAGGTTGATTTGGGCAATTCTTGGAAAGCCAATATTTATTCATCTCTAACTATGGCGCCAAGAACTTTGCATACTTTATATCATTTCTTACTAAAATAATCTGATGAGGAAGATTTAGTATTCTTGCTTAAAGAGGAAAAAGCAAGCTCACAGTTTAAGCTTATACGCTAAGTAGGAAATTGATATAGAGATTGAAATTTACGAGCTATCATGACTGGAGTATAGATCTGAAAGTCATTAGAATACAAGTAGTGATCCAGTTTATAAAATGTGATGACACTGATTTCAAGAAGTTTCTGGGGGAAGGAGTTGGCAGGCAGCATGGTGTTAAAGGCGCTGGACTTCCGCCTGTCCAACCGTGGTCTGGGTCCTGGAGTGGGTGGCTTACTTTCTCCCTCCCCCCTCCCCACTCATTCTGTTCCTTTCTGGTCAAATTAAAATAAGTAAATAAAAAAAGTTAAATAAAATAATTCTTTAAAATTACAAAAATATAATAAAAGAAGTTTCAGGGAAAAGGGAAGGATAGGAAGTACCAGGATCATAACTTCTCACTTTAATAGCAATTGCACTGGTATAATCTGGCACAGACAGTTTGAAATTCTGGAGTCTATTTAATATTGTAATATTCAAGGGAAGTTTTGGATGGTAAATTGCAGTTTATTTTGGTCAATTTCAACTCTTAACACAGTGGCAAATACCCACCCCCACACTCCAATTCCAGGTAAGTCAGTCATGCACATACTCCTGGAGCACTGTGTATATACAGCTTGCAAGAACCAGGATGGGCAATAAGAACCCTGCTTTCCAATGGCACAGATCTATGTGTTTTGACTGATGATCACTCCTACTGATTACAGAGGTGCAGACACAGAGGCCAACAGCCATTGTTGTAATATGCCTTCCCCTACCCCACATTGTAGCAAGCCCCTTTCCCTGGGGATAAAGCTACTTCCATGGTACTTAAAGGACTAGCACATCCCTCCCTGCAGCCCAACACATACACATTCACATTCACATACTCATACACATACACATACACATACTCATACACATACACATACACATACACATACTCATACACATACACATACACATACTCATACACATACACATACACATACACATACACATACACACACTTGATTTTCCTCTCTTTTCCTTTCTGGAATCAGACGTTAAGTATTAGAACATTCAAAAGCAACCACATACATGAGAGACACAAGAAAGTCGCTGTGCGTACCCAGGAATAAGCAGTCTCCAAAAAGACCTGATGAAACCTTAGATTTACTCCATAGGCTAAGCTTTGGCTCAGAAACAGCCTATAACAATAAAAAATGAAACAAGACTGAACAGAAACAACATCCAGAAAAATCAGGGGAAGAGGGAGAATCTATTTTCTAGAGTTATCAGAATATTAGATTAAAATACCCTATTTTCAACAACAAAAATAACCCCACAAAACATACAAACAAATGAAAAAGTGTGGCCCATTCAATAAATAAATAAGCCAATAGAAACTGTCCATGAGGAAGATCAGCTGATGACCCATTTAATAAAGGCAGACTAAAATGACTATCTTAAAGATGGTCAAAGAATTTGGGCCCGCCTGTGGTTAATGGTTAAGTTGGCTGGATCCCACATGGCCGAATGAGCAGTTCAAGTTCTGAACTCAGCACCTTGAGAGCGTGCCAGGTGTGTGTGTACTTGTCCCAAATCCGAAGAGGTTAGTGGAGGAAAAGACATTGCAGTGTGGCTCTCCCCATGGGGGCGGGGGTGAGAGGGTCTCACTTTTCCTCTTTCTATAGAAAAAAAAAGTTCAAAGAATTAAAAAAATAATGTAAAGAAAATTTTTAAAAAGTGACATATAAGCAAAATAGAAATATGAATAAAGAGATAGAAAATCCAAAAAGAAATCTAAAGAAATTGTAGAGATGGAAAATGTGATAACTGAAATAAAAAAATTCTCTAAAGAGATTTAAAGGCATGTCTGAACCAGAAAAAAAAAATCAGTAAACCTAAAGATAGACAATTATTATTAAAGAAAAACAAATAGAGTCTAAGGGCCTGGGAGATACTGTCAAGCAGATTAATATATACATTAAGGGAATCCCAGAAAGAAAAGAAAGAATGAAATAGAAAAAATATTTGAGAAAACAATGGTCAAAAAATCCTCAAGTTTGATTAAATGTGACTATAAACATTCAAGAATTTTAACTAGAATAAACTCAAAGAGACCCATGTTGAGCTATACTCTAATCAAACTGTCAAAAGCCAAAGACAGAGAACTGCGAATCCTGTGTCTGACAAAACTGTCCTTCAAGAGGGGGAAAAATGAAGATAAACAAAAACCAAGATAATTTGTTACCAAACAAACTACAAGTTTCTGCCCTTCAAGAAATGCTAAAGGGAATTCTGTAGGTTGAAATAAAAGGACATTCAATAACAACTGAAGTCATATGGAGGAATAAACACATCGGTAAAGGTAAATGCACAGGTAATTATAAAGCCTAGTATTAGGGTAACGACAGTTTGTAACTCCACTTTTTGTGTTCTACATGATTTAAGAGATTCATGCATTAAAAAAAAAATGGTTAGTTTGTGGTTTTGGACACACTTGTATAAAGATAAAATTGTGTGACAACAAAAACTGCAAGGGGTGGGAACAAGCTATAAAGGATTAGAATTTTTTAAAAGAATTATTTATTTATTTAATTTAATTTGCTATTATTAATTTTTAATTTAACCAGAGAGAGACAGAGCGAGAGAAAGAGAAAGTGAGAAAGCAGACCGCCAGGTCCAGGACTCAAACTGCAGTCAGCTGTCTGGGAATCCAGCACCCTTAACTGTCACACTACCTGCTGGTCCCAAGGACTAGAATTGTTGTACGGTACTACAGATAAACTGATACAAATGAAAATTAGAGAATAACTTTAGAGTTTTAAAAGTTATAGATACACATAGTAAGAAGGGCATTAAATTTTTTACAGCTAAAATCTTTTTTTATTATTATTTTTTTTTTTTGGAGAGGTTTTCGCTATAGGGCGCGTGCGCTCGCCAGACACACAGAGACATAGAGACAGAAAGCGAGAAATCACCCCCCAGGGGGGATGGTCACGCCGCAATCCCTTCTCCTCCATTCTCCTCTCGGGATCTTGGGCACGCACGCACACGCGCCTGGCGTGAGATTTAAGCCACCGGGTCCGAGACGCGAACCGCGGTCGACTACGTGGGAGTCCAGCGACATAGCCATTACGCTAACTGCTGGTTCCCTACAGCTAAAATCTTGACTGATATACAAAAGAAGACTGTAATGCAGGTAGTGATGGACCACAAGTTATAATACAAAGAGTAAATAGCAAAGTGACAGGAGTAAGGATTGAATGGATTAACTCTTCAGTCAAATTTGACACTAAGTAGGTGAATATAGAAGATAATGCTAAACAAATGCTTTATATCTGGTTGAAGTAGTTGATTAATTGTGTTGTTTAAATCCTCTACTTCTTTATTCATCTAAGTAATGCAAAAATGCTTCGACTTTAAGTAATTTCAAGTCATCCCTTGTATCTGTGTTAGTCTGCTTTATGGTGTTCCACAGGTCCTTACACTCTGTTTACTTTTCTTCAGTTTTTGTTCTTTGTTTTCGTCAAACTCAGTAATTTCCACTGTCTATCTTCAAGTTTATTCATTCTTTTTTTTCTCCTGCTGACTCAAATTTGCCTTTGAATCACTCTAGATCATTTTTATTATGCTTTCATTTTCATTTTGATTTACAATGCTAAGCCAGACTATGAAAGAGAGACATTGCATGTCTGCCCTCAGTAGATACCAAATCCCT